TTTTGTTTTTTAAATTTGGCTGCATCAGGTCTTAACTGCCACACTAGAGATCTTCACTGCCTTATGCAGGATCTTTTCCATATGGTTCAGGAACTCTTGAGTTACCTCATGTGGGCTCAGTAGCTGTGGCTCATGGGCTTAGCTGCTCTGAGGCATGTGGGATCTTAGTTCCCTGTGTGTATGTGTGCTAAGTAGCTTCAGTCGTGTGGACTCTTTGTAACCCCACGGACAGTAGCCTGCCAGGCTCCTCTGTCCATTCGATTCTCAAGGTAAGAATACTGGAGTGGGTTGCCACGCCCTTCTCCAGGGGATCTTCCAGACTCAGGAATCAAACTTGAGCCTTCCACACTGCAGGCAGATTCTTTACCATCTGAGCCACCAGGGAAGCCTCCTAATTTCCTGACCAGGAATCAAACCCTCCTCCCCTGAATTGCAAGGCAGACAATTTACCCCTGGACCACCATGAAAGTCCCTATATCGAATTTCTTGGCTTGAGAAGAGAATGAATATTAGAGCTGCTTATTCAGCTTTACTAGGAGGTTCTCTGCAATTTTTTTCTATACACCTCACATTTCTATATGTGGAAAACCAACCGTTTGGGGAAACAATAAATAGAAATATATGACACTTGTAAGAAAACACTGTTAAGGACAAAGGTACCACAGAATGGTAAGACTTGACTGAGGGGCTTCCCTGGTGGTCCTGTAACTAGGACTCTGAGCTCCCAATGTAGGGGTCCCTGGTTGGATCCAAGGTCAGGATCCCAGCCACATGCCTCAACCTGCATGCTGCAAAGAAGACCTGGCGCATCCAAATATATGAATAAAGAGAAAATATTTTTTAGAAATGAAGAGTTGAAAGTGAAGCCATTCAGTAGTGTCCGACTCTTTGCCACCCCATGGACTGTAGACTGCCAGGCTCCTCCGTCCATGGGATTTTCCAGGCAAGAAAGCTGGAGCGGGTTGTCATTTCCTTCTCCAGGGGATCTTCCAGATCAGAAGATCGAACCTGGGTCTCTGGCACTGCAAGCCAACTCTACCGTGTGAGCCACCAGAGGGCTTCCTCAACGGCTCAGTGGTAGAGCCCGAGTCCACCTGCCAATGCAGGAGGCATGGGTTCCACCCCTGATCCGGGAAGATCCCACATGCTGCAGAGCAACTAAGCCTCTGTGTCACAGATAATTAGCCTGTGCTCTAAAGCCGGACAGCCACAACTACTGAGCCCAAGCCCTAGAGCCCCGGCTCCGCAATGAGAAGCCCGAGCTCCACAACAGAGGGTAGACCCCACTCTCCGCCCTTAGAGAAAGGCCAGCGCAGCAACAGCAAAATAAAAGTATTGAGGGAAAAAACAAAACAATGCTGGCTGAGAGGCCCAGAGGTCAAAGCATTTACCTCCATCGTACTATCAACGCAGCTGTCCCAGCAGAGTCTGTAGGCGAAGGAGGGGCCCGGGCACGGCGGCTCCCGTTCCAGCCCGGAGACAGATTCTGGCCGAATGGAGCCCACGCCGAGCCTTAGATCGGCCTCAGAACAGCTGTACCAGCGCCCACCCAGCTCAAGGCGGCCCAGGGTTCCCAAGATCCCCACCAGGGAACTGACTTCACCAAATGTCAACTGAGTTCACAGAAAGGCGCTTTCGGTTGACGCCGGAAGGCCCGCCCAGACGCGGTCCTCTAGAACCAAAGCGCCTCTCTTCTGACCCTTCATTGGTTCTGTGCTGCAGGAGGCGGCGCACTGCCTTCCGGGTAATGTAGTTTACGGAGTTTCAGGTGCTGGCAAAGGGCGGTGCTGCCCACCTCTGGGACAGTTCAGCCTCAATCAGAGGGTTGCTGGAAGGGGTGTCCCTAGGCTCTGAGTATTGGGGTGGGGTTTCACGCGTCTGAAAGGCGATGCATCCAGATTTGCGTGTAATATACTCTGTGCTGATCACGACAGGTACAGAGACAGTATTTCAGATGGTCCCCAAACCTACAAAACCAAGTAGCCACAAGATACCAGGCTGTATCGTGGGGACGACAGAGGATGAGATGGTTGGATGGCATCACCGACTCAATGGACATGAGTTTGAGCAAGCTCTGCAAGATGTTCAAGGACAGGGAAGCCTGGCGTGCTGCAGTCCATGAGGTCACAAAGAGTTGGACACAACTGAGCAACTGAACAACAACTACTAGGCTGTCGCTCAGACACACAGTGCATCCGTCCATAGTTCGGGTCTAATAAATGGTGTCCTGCTGCTCTGCAAATACATGTAGCCTAAGCATTAGATTCAATTTATAACTTTCACTGTGGTAGGTCAGGGTAAAGCAAGCAAAGATTAAAGACAGGGCCATAATGGGCAACACAGGAAGGCGGACTTCCGTGCTTGTCCACTGGTTAAGAATTCACCTCCCAATGCAGGGAATATGCGTTTGATCCCTCTTCTGGGTATATTCCACACATCACAAGGCAACTAAGTCCATTCTCCACAACTACTGAGCCCGCTGGCCTAAAGCCCATACTCCAGTCAGAAGTCACTGCAGTGAGAAGCCCGTGTACTGCAGACAGTAGCCCCACCACCACCCCGCATTAGAGAAAACTAGCACACATGGCAACGAAAACCCAGCAAAGCCAAATACAATTAATACGTTTTAAATATACATATATTTCTTTTTTCTGTCTTGACACAAATGCACATGTGTGAGGATGCACACACACACACTGATGGGTTGTTGTGCTGGAGATCCTGATATATCATGGAACTAAACACTCAAAATAGTGAGATGATAAAGTTTATGTTGTGTATTTCACCACAAAAATTCCCTAGGAACTTTTATGACACAAAGATGTAGGATAATGACACTTGAAAAGCCAATTAAGAAGAGAAAAATCTAGAAAAATGTCAGTGGAAACTGTGTATGATGCAAAAGGTTCAAAATTTTTTATTCATAAAGAATTCATACAAAACTGAATTTCAGTTTAGTTTCAACTTCAGTTCCCACTTTAACATTTTCTCAGTGATAGTGAGAACAACAAAAAAACCACCCACATTTGCTTACAAACAATGCACCTCTAATACATAAGAAATCCTTGCTTATTTTTATTTGATGTTATTCCTTTGCACAAATATAATAAAAAATATATTTATGAACTTAGTGAAAATTCATATAAGAATACCTGTAGGATTTCTCTTATATAAAATTCTAGAAAATGTAAACTACAATGTCTACCTGGAGATGGCAACTTGGGTAGGGTTTGTGCTAATGGAAACTCTGTAAGTAATGGGCCTGTTCATTATCACAACTTTGGTGATAGTCCTACTGTGTACACCGATGTGAAAATATAGTTTATAATCTTAATAAATGAAATTGAGTATGCCAATACCTCAGTAAAGCTATTAACATATGTTCCATATAAAGTCAGGATATCCTGTTTCTCTAAATGTCATCATATCAGACAAACTTGTATCGACAATCAGCACATTTCCCCATATTTTAGGCAGGTCAATTCTGATTCCTTCTCAAGACAGAAGAAAATGCTGACAAATGCTTCACCATGGGGACATTATTCTAAGCTAAATAAGCCATGTGCAGAGAGATGAAAAGTGTATGATTACACTTATGAAAAGTATCCAGAGTAATCAAATTCATAGACAAGAGTATAAAACAGAGGTAGACAGGTAGAGCAGGGAGGGAGGAGAGAGAGATGTTTAAGGGGTATAGTTTCATTTTTGCAAGATGAAAAAGAATTCTGGAGACTAGATATTAATTTTTAAACACACTACACCAAACATTAAAAGGGAGAGGGTAAATTTTGTTACACATGAAAGTGAAAGTTGCTCAGTTGTGTCTGACTCTTTGCAGCCTCTTGGACTATAGAGTCCATGGAATTCTCCAGGCCAGAATACTGGAGTGGGTAGCTTATCCCTTCTCCAGCAGATCTTTCTTACCCAGGAATCGAACCAGGGTCTCCTGCATTGCAGGCAGATTCTTTACCAACTGAGCAATCAGAGAAACCCTAAAGTCACTCAGTCATGTCCAACCATTTTGCGACCCCATGGACTATACAGTCCATAGAATTCTCCAAGCCAGAACGCTAGAGTGAGTAGCCTTTCCCTTCTCCAGCAGATTTTCTCAACCCAGGGATCGAACCCAGGTCTCCTGCATTGCAGACAGATTCTTTACCAGCTGAGCCACGGGGGAAGCCCAAGAGTACTGGAGTGGGTAGCCTATCCCTTCCCTCGCAGATCTTCCCAACCCAGGAATCAAATTGGGGTCTCCTGAATTACAGGTGGATTCTTTACCAGCTGAGCTACCAGGGAAGCCCAGCATTGTCAGATATATTTTACTACCATCAAAAAAAAAGATGTTCTCAGGGACAGATTAGAGCAATTTGCTAGTCTTTTCCCATTTGCAATACTCCCTCTGGTGTGAACTCTTTGGTGCTGAATAAGGTCGAAGTTTTGGCAGAACATATGTCTATAACTGCTGCACTAAGGCCTTTCTCCATTGTGAAATCACTGACATTTAATTGGGTTGGAGTTTAAGATAAAAACTTACATTCACTGAAAAGGTCTGCTTTGGTATGAACTCTTGATGTCTAAAGTGGGGAGCTGTACCAAAACAACTTTCCATGTTTGCTGTACTCAGAAGTGAACACGGCCCAACATAACTCATAGGGGCTTCTCCAGCACCTATGAGTTAGGAGTTTGGAGTAGTACCTCATTTACCATAGCTTCTGTACTTATAATGGTCTTTTGTTTTTTAATTGAAACATAGTTGATTTACAGTGTTTCAGGCATATATCAAAATGATTCAGTTTTATATATAAAATTCTTTCCCAGATTATTTTCCATTATAACTTATTACATGATATAGAATATAGTTTCCTGTGCTATACAGCAGGCCCCTTCATAAGGTCTCTACCACTGAACTCTCTGCTTCATGAGGTTGGAGTTGTATCTAAAGAGTTCCCCACATTCACAGCACTCATAGTGTCTTCAGTGTGAATCTTCTGGTGATGAACAAGGTGGGACTTCCTAATGAAGGCTTTGTGACATCTGCTGCACTCATAAGGTCTTTCTCCAGTATGGATTTTCTGATGCTCAACAAGTATATGCTTGTGGCTAAAAGCTTTCCCACATTCTCTGCACTCATAAGGCCTCTCTCCAGTGTGATTTCTCCAATGTTTAATGAGGTTGGAGTTGTACCGAAAGAATTTCCCACATTCGCTGCACTCATAAGGCCTCTCTCCACTGTGAACTCTCTTATGTCTAATGAGTCTGCAGTGATACCTAAAGGCCTTCCCACATTCACTGCACTCATAAGGCCTTTCTCCAGTGTGATTTTGCCAATGTTTAATGAGTTTGGATTTGTACTTAAAGTATTCCCCACACAAGCTGCACTCATAAGGCCTTTCTACCGTATGAACTCTCTGATGTCTAATGAGGGTGGACGTGTACCTAAAAAATTTTCCACATTCACTGCACTCATAAGGCCTTTCTCCGGTATGAACTCTCTGGTGTTTAATGAGTGTGGAATTGTACCTAAAGAATTTCCCACATTCATTACACTTATAAGGCTTTTCTGCAGTATGAACTCTCTGATGTCTAATGAATGTGGAGCTGTACCTGAAAAACTTCCCACATTCAATGCACTTATAAGGAGTTTCTCCAGTGTGAACTCTCCCATGTCTTATCAGTCTATAGTTATACCTAAAGAATTTTCCACATTCTCTGCACTCAAAAGGCCTTTCTCCATTGTGCTTTCTCTGATGTTTCATGAAGTTGGCATTGTACTTGAAAAATTCCCCACATTTGCTGCACTCATAAGGTCTTAATCCAGTGTGAACTCGCTGATGACTAATGAGCGTGGAGTTGTACCTAAAACATTTCCCACATTCGCTGCACCGAAAAGGCCTTTCTCCAGTGTGGATTCTCTGGTGCTGAACAAGGTGAAACTTTCTAATGAAGGCCATCCCACAGATGCTGCACTCATGAGGCCTTACTCCAGTGTGGATTTTCTGGTGCTCAACAAGCATCTGTTTTCGGCTGAAGGCTTTCCCACACCGAGCGCACCTGTAACCACTCTGTTCACGACCAAAGGCCTCCTGGCACTCAGTGTCCCCATGTGGCTGCCCCACACCATGAGGGCCCAGCTGCTGCAGAAGGCCTGTGCTGCCTGGGAAGGGCTTCCCATCTCCACTGCACGTCAAGGTCCTCTCTCCTGTGTGAACACTGCTGTTGGTCAGAAATGAAGGCTGCCCCTCAGCCCTTCTGCAAAGTTTGTCTCTAATCTCCTTCTGGTGCTGGAAAAGGTCTGCTCCACAAATGTACAGTCCTTCATCAGGGTACATTCCGTCATGCTCAGGCAGGGGCAAAAGGTCTCTGGAGAGTGGGCCACACATGTCACTGGGCTGGGCCTTCCTGGAGGATGGATCTGGCTTTGCAGTCCTGACCTCTGACATCCCTATAGAAACACCTTGCTCAGAAGAGGGCTCCTCACCCTGGGCTCCATGCCAACAACCTGTAACCAGATAGATGCTGGTAAAGCGCATGTTGACTTTGATGGAAAGGACAGCCCCATCAGAAATATGTATGTCACACACACCCAAGACCAAAGCCAGATTCAGGAAGGTCTGCTGTGCAGAGATGGACCTGGGGAGCTCCCATGATGAGACAGTCCTGTCAACAGGTAAAGACTGAAGGAAGAGTTACTCTTTTAGTCCATTTGGGATCCTCTGGTAAAATTATAAGCTGACTGGCTTATAATGAACAGAAGTTTATTTCTCACATTTCTAGAGGATGGAACCCAGAGACCAGTATGCATTTTTCTAGGTCACAGACTTCTCATTGTGTCCTCACACATGGTGCAAGGAGCCTGGAAGTTTTGTGGGGTCCCCTCCTTTTTTTCTTTTAATCTTTTGGGCTGAACTGCATATCATGTGGGAGCTTAGTTCCTCCAACAGGAATCTAACTCAGGCACTCTGCACTGGAAATGTGAAGTCTGAACCACTAGACCACCAGGGAAATCTCAGTGGGGGCCCCTTTTAAAAGGGCACTAACCTCATTCTTAAAGGCTCTGCCCTCATGACCTAATCACCCCAAAGATCCCATCTTCTAATAGTGCCACCTTGGGCATGAAGTTTTCCACATATGGAATGTGTGGAGACACAAACATTCAGACCACAGCAGGCCTCCAAATCAGTCCTCTGCAAAAGGCCTCCAGCACACCCATGGCTATGGTTGACAGGTGAGCGCTATGACGAAGATGGTGCCCAGACCTTGAAACATCTGATACAAAGGAGATGCTAAAGTTCTAGCACTATTTAAGGATACATACATGCAGACCTCAGGACATCTTACATACAGAGCAGTGATATGGAACGCGTGACAAGTGAGGGTCACAAAGGTGTGGCTGGAGGGTGACAGAAGAAATAAAATTGGGAAGAAAAGGAAGAAATGGGGTATGATCAGCAGTCATAGCATCAGTCAATGGTGAACACAGAACAAGTTCCCAGTTCTGACATGGTACGATTTCCCAGGAGCTCGGGTAATTCTGAGTGTCTCCTGCCATAGATGCAGTAATGTCCACACTATCAAGCACCCAGGGTCCTCCCTCCTGCACCAGGTGAGCACTGATGTGGCATCAGAAAGACCCCAGTCCTATATGAAAGACAGAAATAGGAGGGGCCAGCGTATGTCCAGAAATTCAACACAGGGCATCTGACATGCTAAAATTCTAACAGCTTCACAGGGGAGACTGCAGAAGCAATAATGGTCCCAAAATTTGTATATTGGTTGGTGTCTGAAAGAAATGTCAGCAAGAGGAGGGGAAGACCTGGGGCAACAAGAGTCCAAGCATCCAGTCTGATCACCTACCAGGGACAAGCCAGGTCAGAGGGGGTCTCAGATAAAATTTAGATTTCTGACTCCTGAGCCCTGTTGTGCAAGTTCCCAGAGTGAAGAGGTAGGGCTCTGTGCGGAGAACAGTGACACTGTACACACGGTCCAGCCCCAGCACCAACAGCACACGTGCCAGGAAACCAGGAAAGGAGCGTCTCAGTGTGGGGAGCACAGAGCTGCCCCTGGGAAAAGGGGCAGAACAGAGCACAGCCCAGAACACCAGGCGAGTGTGCAGAGCTTACCCAGGGAGGTCACGAGTGCCAAGTTCTCTGTCATCACAGCACGGTACAAGTGTCTCTGAGCTTCATCAAGGAGGCCCCACTCCTCCTGGGAGAAATACACAGCCACGTCCTCGAAGACCACACAGTCCTGCCAAAATCAAAAGAGTCTGGCTCATGAACAGTTTCTTGTTTTAACTTGGTTTTGTGGATTCTGTATTTATCTATTTGCCATCCATTAATTACAGGGCTAAACTTAAGGCCAAATTTGTTCACATCTCCCTTGCTTCCAGAGCTCATACTCTGAACCAACTCCTGAACTAATACTCACTCACCAGGTCAGTATTTCCCCTGCCCTAAATCAGTCCAGAGCCAGGTACCAGACAGCTACAGACAGCTCCCGTACTCCAGGTACACAGAATTATTCAAACTAGTCATCCCTAAGCCTTCTGTCCAACCCTACCCACATTTCCCCTGAAAATCCAAAAAAGGCTCTGACCACTGGTTTCCCCAAACTGGTGCTCGCACCTGCTAACCAAGTCTGGTGCTTCCCCACATGAGCCTGGGTTACACAGTGAGCCTCCTCTCAGGAAATATAAGTAATGAAATTGTCATGAAACGTCACTGGCCTCTCTGTGTCACCACTCATCACCACTCACTCACTTCCACAAGTTAATATACTGAGTATGACCACTGATACATGTCACTCTCCAGGACTTTCACCCTCTCCCAAAGCATCTGTCCCCACTCAGCCTCATCCCAGATGTCCCACCCTCAAGATACGCCCTAGGGGCATCAGTGCCTGTTCTCTCCTCATGACCATGGACCCCTGTGTCCAGTACACAGCAGAAAACAAACCACCATGTAGGCTGTGGACTGCCATGCATGGCCCTATCCCTCTCCTGCTGGACAATTTCCCTGGGGTCCCTCCCCCAGATGATGACCCTCAAACAAACTCAGATTTGTCCTTGTCTTTATAAGCCCAGTGCCAAGGCTCAGGGCCAACCGTTCACTCTCCTCCTCACTGCATCTCACTTGTAGGACTGCACCTTCCTGACAACTCTGACCCCTCCATGGTGACAGCACCACAGACACCCCAGCCCACACCACAGGCACTTCCTTCACCTCCTTACAGGGTGCTCTGCACATGGAGTACAGGCAGTGAATGGCAAATGCATCCAATATTTAATGCAGCCAACCCTGCTCCCGAACACCAAAGTCCTCTAAAGCCAGGCCCCACCCCAAGCCCTGGAGGCACACCCCAGAAGGTCTCCCCACAGGGCCCTGTTTTTTGCTTCCTCTCTAGCCATCCTGCCTACATGAGACCTCATGTGCCCTTAGCTCTCTTCCTCTTCTGAACTGCGAGGACTGTCCCACAAGCAGTCAACACCTTCCTCTCTCTTCACATGAAGCCCAGGCACGCAGACCTCCCCAGTCACACTCCCACTCCACCCTAGGCCTAGAGACTCTCCCAGCTAATCCCTTTTCCATCCTTGACATCCATCTCCTGTCCTCACTGGCCTGAAGACTTTCTCACACCTACACCCTGCTGTCACACAGACACACAGACACTTTGCCTCCTCATCTGTCTTGGTGAAGCCCATCACCACCAGCCAGGTATCCAACCCAGAGACCTACTACTCAGGCCCTTCATCCTCACTCCTTGTCCCCTAATGGCATCCGCACCACCAACTAGAAATGATACTACCTAAATCTTACCTGCAGCTTTATCCTAGTCCACACCAAAGCCCCGATGCCATGGCTGTCTCCACCTTGGATCCTTCCCCTGAAACCCAGACTCTGTGTGAAAGTGATTCCCTGGGGTTCCTCCCCCAGATGCTGACCCTCAGACAAACTCAGATTTGTCCTTGTCTTTATAAGCCCAGTGCCAGGGCTCAGGGCCAACTGTTCATTCTTCTCCTCACTGCATCTCACTTGTGGGACTGCACCTTCCTGACAACTCTGGGATACCTCCCCTTGGGAATCTCTGGAACATCTGTGATTTCCAAACTTGGAAATTTCCATTTGGAAATTCTCCCTACTACTAGAGCTGCTTCCTCATTTTAGCTGATGAGGTACCCATCCTTCCTAATAAAGCCAGAAACCTGGGTCCTCCCTGATTCTTCCTATCAGCCGACCTCCTTAAGTCCCTCATTCTCCATTACATAAAATATGGACAACACATCATTGTAAACTACCTATACTTCAATTTAAAATATATGATTTAAAAAAAAAACCATGGGTAGCTCTATCCCTACCTTCACAGCCACCACTCAGGTGTAGCCCCCACAAACATAAACATGGATGATTGCAGAAATTCCTCTCATATCTCCCAGCCTTCATGCACACCTAGTCTAGTCTTCTACTCTGCAGTCACAGAGGCCTGTTAAAATCTGAGACATGGCACCTTCCTGCTCTGCCTCAAACCTTCCCTACCTGCCCTCAACCTGAGGGTTAGAGAACCAGGACCTCAGGCTATCAGTCAAGGCCTGATACCTGTGCACCCCTATCCCAGCACCCCATTCCCACCAGATATGACAGAACCAACAGTTCTCTGCATATTCCACCTCAGTATCACCTGCAGCTGTCTGGATATTCTAAATCCTGTGGTCAGGACTCCCTGCCACACCTTCCCCCATCAGTTGTCAGCAATAAAATCGCTGATCAATCTATAACCCAGGACTAAATATAAGATCCTAGGCATGGTGAGAGTACATGGTCTACAGATGCAAGACAGAAAATAGGGATATAAGTCTTGGGACATTGACATTACTCAAGGGCATATATATCAGGATAAAATTATCAGGTTGATAATTATGACT